TGTATCAAATGTGATAAGAAATATGTGCAGGAATAGAAACTTCATTTATCAATTTTGTTCTTAACTTTTTAAATTGTTACATATATTTGTGAAATACAATTTATGTGATATCTTCATTATTTCTGTATTAAGGTGAGATTTTTTTATTTATTGATTGATTATTTTAAAGTTATCATTATGAGTTATTAAATGTTTTACAGATATATCGAAATTTAATCAATTTTTTGTCAACTTGCCCAAAGTCTGGGGCATGTTGACTAACTTGATATATCTCATTAATTAAATGGTTTTAATAAGTTTTAAAATAATTAATAGTAAGCCATAAGCTTAGAACCAATTGTACTTAACACATTTAGGAATAATTCTATCAAATTTGAAGATTTTTAGGTCATTACTTTTTTTTAGAGAGTTGTAACTTTTTAAAAAAAAGTTTTAATTATAATTAAACTTCGAGGTCTTTAACTTGCTTCTATTATGAGTTTTGATGCCCCAGGTAGAGTTTTATTGCCACCATTACATACCCTCTATTTTAATTAATGAAATACGGTTTCTCCAGCTGATAGCTTGTTTGTTGTTAAATATAATATTAAATATATTATAATATTATATTTAGAACACTTTAGGTAACCGTTGTTTAGGTTGGTTAACATTATTATTATTATAAGGTTTGTAGCATAGACATACAAATACGTTAATACGTATTAATATGTATATAGTTTGTAGTATTTAATAACAAAAGCAATGTAACAGTTTGGTATTTTATATGAAAATAAAAAAAAATACATTGTTGTCACGTCGCAATTCTTTTACATGAATTTTTTTTCATAATATTAATTCCAATTTCTAAAAATAATGAATTAATTCACGTTCCTATTCTTATTATACGTAATGAAACTCCTTCCTTCATCAGTTTCCCAAAAAAGAAAACGATTTCATGAATCCATTCCTTTTGGAACGCGTTCTTTAACAAGATTGACATTAGATAAGTTATAGTGTCCAAGAAAGATAAAAAAAGTTTTTTTATTAAACATAGATATTATTCTCATAGCAGCTGACTTGCTTGGCCGGTAGAGTATAATAATTGCCAATTATTATCTGAGTATTATTAGAGAATTTTACAAGTACAAATAAGGATTCATCTGAGTTAATAGGAACAGGTATACGTGAAGTACAGTATTTTTATAAACATAAATAGCAGCACCCTCAGCTTTTATATTTTAAGCTTGTATTACGGTGTTTGTCAACTCGATATACGTAAATATTAAAAAAAAAACTAGTTTAATATCAGTAATATAATTTGGCTACCAAGTTATAACAGGTTTTAAATAAACAAATATTAAACAAAATATTCATATTCATTTAACAATTTATTATATTTTTTATCGATTATATTTTTATAGTAATATCAATAACGGATCAAATTTTTATTATAAGACAAATTATAGAAAAGTAGTGAGAATTTAATAAAAATATATGTGTTCTATTTGTGAATTTTAAAAAAATCTTACGATTCCATTCATCGATAAAGTTTTTTTATTATACTAAAGGAGTTTTATCTAGTTGGGCTGTCAATATGTGTTTAGCGTTGATAATGGTAACATTGTTTCCGAAATACGTATCCGTGGTTTTTCAGTAATTTTTTGTGGCTTTTTGAGTTTAATATTTTTTAGTTTAAAATTAATAATATTTTTAATATAGTTTTAATTTTATTTAATTAATGAACCACAAGTGATCAATTTTTATTATATACAAAAGGAGTTTAAATTTCTTATAAAAGTCAGTTAATTTAATTGAGGTCACTTTAAAAAGTACAGAAATAAAGTAGCCTAAAAAATGTCAGGTCCAGTTAAAGTAACTATTGGTCTATGGCAAGAAGACGCACTTTTTCTAATATTATTTAGTTTAGTATTAGACAATGTAATTAGAGAAATAAATATTATGGTAATGGCGGAATAATATAAAAAAAATATAAAATAAACATCCTTGACTATGCGGATGACATAACATCATTAGGAAATACTGAAGAAGAGGTGAAACGATTATGCGGGAAAAATCTTGACTTTGTCAAAAAAGTCAAATTGTATGTTAACAACAAACAAACATGATGATGTGTCATTAAGATAAATTTATGAATATAGAAAGGTATATGATTTATTAAATTATTCATTTTAAGTATTTGGGTCACCTTCTAACACAAGATAACGAATTGAAAATGAAAATCAGTACTACAATACAGGGCTTATTTTAATGGGTAGTAGAACCTGAATTGGTAGTTGAAAACATAATTTGGGTAGTTGAAAATTCAAAATTGGGTAGTAGATTTTTTTCACCTGTAGGAAACTAGGTAAATTCTAATAATAAAATATTGAAGCCATAAATTTATATAAATAAAAATTGAAAGTTATCAAATTAAAAACGTTTTTTAACTTAAAATTTTAAGCACATATTTTAATTTTTAACAAATCGTAATGTATTTTTATTATATATTAGAAAAAAGACTGGCAACGGTATGATCGCATTGCGAACGTATAAGTTTTCTATAGACCTATACGTCGTAAGACGACTTCGTGTGCCCGATGCGCATTGTGGCATTGTGTAGTAGTCGATATAGTATAGTAATGTACGATATCGATAATGTCGTCGTGCCGTCGTTAAAACCCATTTAAAAATAAATAAAACGCACAGTATCGCAAGACACGGTCGTATTGAAACCAAACACTAATTTTATCTGTTTATTTTATCTAATTCGTTATCGACCTTTCTTTATATTCTAGTTTAAGTAATACTGCACTATAGAATGCGCATGTTGACTACTGCGTGATTTTGCTTAGGACATATAGGTCTATGGGCTAGTACTACAGTAAATAAATTCACGTGAATTACTGTATTATATACTTATTTTAATAAAAAGTGAAAAAGTGTAAAAATAAAACGGGCTTTATCTCTTCAAAAATATGTAAAAATATCTTGCAAAACAACTTCTTTGTATAGTTGGCTGAATCTAAATAAAGCAAGTTGTTCGACCCAGTTAAATTTAGCCACACAAAACTCAGCATCTCCTGAGGAATCTCAATTATCGGAACCAGTTAAAGAAAAAGAAATAATCAAGAAAATTTCAGAAAATGAAAACCCAAGTGAAACCCTCACACAAGAAATTCCAATTTCTAAACCTGAAGCAAATAAACAAAACTCCGATGCTCAGGCATTTGAACATTATCACCAAGATGGCAAGCACTACGTAAAATGTAAATACTGCAACATGTTTCCAAACATAGTAAAGCTTCATGGAACAATGACTCGATTGCTTGCGATAATAACAGATGGTACTAGATTTAGAAACGATACGATAGAAAAACATATTTCTCAGAAATATCATTCGGAGTCTGTGAAAGCTTTTAGATTATCTACTTTAAAAGTACCAGAAAAAGCAAAAGAATGTACTATGGATAAGATGCTCCCACAAATGAACGAGAACCTAGCAAATAAAATTGGTGGATTAATGATACATACATATGCTGACGCAAAAAAAATTACAAAAAAAAAAATTCAATATTTGACCCCAACCGCACATAAAGAATTTATTCAGTGTATTATTAAAAGTGATCATAGTGTGCAAGATATACTGAGCTCTAACATTTTATCGCTTTCTTTGAGATGTGATGGCAGTGTGGACCGTATGCAAATAGACAAGATATATGTTTTTGCAAAAGTCATAAAAAAATCTGGTGAATCAGTTCAATATTTCCTTGGGTTAAGTGAACCATCTTGTCAAGGTGCTGAGAGAATACTTGGTGCAATAGAGAACGCCATCGATACTACTGTAGAAGAAGGAATGTCTAAACAACTTTTTGAATTTGCCACCTCTTTGGTAACAGATGGAGCAGCAGTGAACACTGGTTGTAGAGCAGGGTTGTGGGAGCTCTTTAGGAAAAAGTACAAGATTAACTCAAATCTTCCTTTCATTACCATATGGTGTGCAGCACACAGATCGGATTTGGCTTTCAAATCGAGTAGTAATTGTGTTGGAGAGTTGAAATATATTTTTTCAGAGTTAGTTGGTTTAAGCTCATTTCTACACTCTTACAGCTTAAGAACCAAGCATCTCCAACAGGCGGCCGAAAAAAATAAATGCAATCTTTCGCGGTTGCCTCGTTTATTTGAAGTGCGGTGGTCCGAATTTTCGTTTGATTTAATCAATTCAGTTTTGGTTTCTTGGAATGCTTTAGTATTGTTCTTAAAAGATTGTCCTGACAAAGAGGCAAGAGGATACAGACTTTTTTTAATCAAATATAACAATCTACAAATCCTGGCATTTATTGCAGACGTATTGATGGTTTTCAGCATTTATCAGAAAAAACTGCAGTCTGATACAAATACAATTTTAGACATGGACAAAGAGACAGTAAACGTTCTATCCAGGCTTAAAATATTAAAAAGGGAAGCGTTACTTGGTGGATGGGTGACAACCTTAAAAGAATAGTTAGAAATTCATAGTGAAAATGAGGTTTTACTTTTGGCATTTTTAAAACAATTAACACACCACTTTTCAAATAACGCAGATACAACACATAAAAATGATGATGGGACACTAAAAATTGTATCCGAAAATAAAAACATAGTATATGTAGGTAACATGAAGATACGCCAAGACTTATGTAAATACGGTGATGACGGTATTAGTAGTACGTTTGATAGAAAATTACCAAATTATTGTAAATGATATGAATTGTATTATCAACAACAAAAATCGAATATATCACTTTTGATAATCAAAATACTTAATTTTATATTAATAAATTCATATTTATGTGTTAATATAGTTTTTTTTTTCATTACAATTTTGGTTATTTTGGATATATATATATAATCTAGCTAAAAATAGCACTTAAACCTAAAAATTAGCAAAATATGCATTTGCTAAACCTTCCGAGCCTTGATAATCACTAACTTTCGAAATTAAAAAATTTTTAAGATAATTTAATTAATGCAATGTGATTTAGTGCGAAGTCATGTCGAGTCCAGATGTGTCGTACTTCCGCAGTTGGGTGGCGTACATCTTCAACATCATCATATTGATGATGAGAAGAAAACTCTTCGTAGAATTGACTCGGGTAAGATATCCAACCATGCCGACAAGTTGGACTGTATGGAGATGATCGACTCATCAGTAATTCACATAATAACTGAGGTAGTTGATAAAAGGGTGACGCGAAATAGGAGTTTCCTACATCATGATTTCTCTAATTCCCCAATATATTTTAATAATTACCTTGTTTCGAAATTATATTTCTATAAATATCATTTAATACATGGCATCCATGACTACGATAGTAAGCAACTTCATTTATAATTTTTGACAAATTAAAAGAAAACTTTTCTTTAGTAATGACTGTATTATATAGAAAATCATGAAGCCAGTTGATACTTTTATGATATTTTTCTGGTTCGACCTAAAGAATTAAAATATTCAATATGAGTTAAAAGTTTTAATTTTATATTTAAAAATAAATTATTTATTTATTTATTCAGAAATGTCATTTTTGAATTTATTAAGATGGAAAAAATTGTTGACTGGTTCATCATTTCACAATGTCACTCGTGATTCATGTCATAACAATTCAATCCTATTATATTTAATATCAAAATTATCATGACAAAATGTTTTCTAAAATCAATTTAACTATAATAAATAAATAATTTTAAATAGAATTTTCTATGAAAAAATTTTTAGAATCATAGTAAATGTATAATATTTAATTTTTAGAAAATTAAATATCAAATGACGCCTTTAAATTAATTATTACATCAAATATGATAGACATTTTTTCATTTATGTTATGAAAATAAAAAACAATTATTTAAATAATCAGAAAAATGATTGAATTAAAATATTTCTAAAATCGTATATAATAAAGTATTGATTTTATTGTTCTTATAAATAATTTGCAAATAAATTCCTTTATTTATTTGTTTTAAAGAATGTAAATACTTTCTGGGATTAGAACATACATAAAGTGATAGAAGTACAACAGAGGAAAAAGTTCCACAAGAAAACCGTGATATTGGTCCGATTCCAACAGATGTATTCCACGAAACAGCATCTTTTTCTAATTTTGCAATGACATCCATATGGTCTAATCTTACACCATTTCGTATTATAGTACTTTGCGTGATCAAATCAAGAAAAAGAGGTAAGTACTTTCTAAGATTCAATTCCAAGTCTTTAGTGTTGATAAGTGCATTCATCTGATTTGAATCATTATAGAATAGCATTATTAATAGATTTTAGAAGTAAATAAAAATTATTCACAAATTATTTTACTTACATAAATAAAATTACTTTTAACATTGTCAATTTCAACAAATAATGGAACTTCGGAAGTTTTAAATATATTGTGTTGGTTTATTGAATTTGATGTAAAAGTATCATAAGTTAAAAGGTTTAATAGTTCAACATTAGGAATTTTAATTGACGTCAACATTTCACTAGGGGGTTTTTTCTGAAATGTTAGAACCCAAAATATAATTGAAGACTAATATCATTGTTATGCATAAGTTTTACTAGACTTAGTTTGTTATAATATATAAAATATTACTGGTGACTTAAATAATACTGATTTATAATAAAAAAAAAATTGACAAGTGATGTGTGTGATAAATATCAAGACTTTTATAATTAAAATATATACATACAGAGTGATTATTTTTTCATAACTCACTCAATTACTTATGAAATAAATATAATTTAAACATTTTTTTCCCCAGATACGCAGCATTTATTATCAATGGTAGTAAGGCAATTTGTTGTGAATTTATAAATACATCAACTTGCAATACAGAAAACATATTTATTGATAGACATAAATGATAATAAATACTCCGTGACTGTGATAGCGATGCCATAAAAAACCAATTCGCTACCTGTATTTGTAATACTTTGTGTCTTATACATGTATATTAATTCAAAAATTTGAAATTTTAAAATTTTATATCGAACGAAAAAATTGTATTAAAAATTCAAATGTCACTTACTATTAAATTAAAAACTCAAACATTTTGTTAAATTCAAAATATGTGTTCCCAATAGAAAAACGAAGTTGACACCCTTACAATACAAAAGGATGAACTTAAAAAGTATTACATAATTAGTAATTAAAGAATAATGTGTAACTAAAGATAACCAAAAAAAGTATTTAAATTATTTTTAATTAGTAAGTAATTGAGTAGGTTATGATAAAAAAATCACACTGTTTATATGATTAATTCTTAATCAATTTTCTTTGGATAACGTTACTAATTCCAAGTTTAAACTTAATATTATTTTAGCTTCGATGCAATGCTGAGAAGGTATTAATTTTATTATAATGTGTCTTTTTTTTTGTATGTAGTCACTTTTTCTCAGCTCTCACCTGACCGATTTTTTTCAATGATACGTCAAAAGATCACAAATAGTATCTAATTGAAAACTTTGCCTTTAAAAAATTATATAATATCCCTCGTTATCTGTAAATAGGGGAAATCTTTAAAAAAATTACAATTTTTAAAATTGGTAAATTTTGACATTATTTCATTTTTTTTTTTCTTAAACCTGCTATAACTTTTTCTAAACTGAACAAATCAAAATAATTTTTTAGAAATTTATAGAAATGTTTGGTATTTTCCTTTCATTTGATATACATTTTTTGAAAACCTGACCCTATACTTACCCACAGTGACGGATACAAAATAGCAACTTTTTTACAAAAGTTAATCTTTTGAACTTAACTTTTGAATATGTTTTGGAAATACTCTGTCTTTTAAACATATGTTAAATTAAAGCTTATGTTACGTACTAAACATTTTAAATTGCAAGTTTAGGACTGTTGTTAAATCATAAATGATAACTATTATAAAAAAATTTATTGCTAAATTATTTTTATATTACTTCACATTCTGTTTTAGCAATCAGTAGTTCAATAGCTTTTAATGTTAAACCAACATCCCCTAAATCTTTTTTGCGTTTTGATATTCTTTGCATTTCTTCATTAGCTAGCTCTTGTTGTTTTTTTATAGATGGGATTCCTCTTACAATAACTTTATGATTGTTTATAAAATAATCTCTTACAATCTGTTTCCAAAACGAGATATCTTCTCTGAGAAGTTTCTTCAGCATTCTAATTGTATTTAATCCTTCGTCTAACTTGAATACAAGATAGATTATATACTTGTGATGTGCCTTTAATATTATGTAATTTTACTTACATCTGTTTGACTCTTTCCATACAAAAAGTCTTCAATAACTAAACTGGCTAAAGTAGAACTAGAATGAGTTTCTAGCTTACTTAATATCGATAGCTTATATTTTTTAATACACAATCTCAGTTTTTCTAGGTTAAAATAACCATCATCACTATTAAGCTTATTAAATACTTCATTTAATTTCAATGGTATTAGTTCTTCTTTTAATTTTTGAATTGGTACATTTTCAAATTCAAGAACTATACTTAAATGTTGATTTATAGAGTAAGAGACCTTAAAATAAATTTATAATAATTCACTAAGAAAAATTAAATAATTTAAACAAAAATTTGTCTTATTTTTACCAAGCTACACAATGGGTCAGATATTTCAACAAACTCCTTTGGTAAAGCACTAATTGGAGTATCAGTTAAATAATATAAAAGTGTCACACAAGCAAAATATCTATAAAAAAAAAGTGGTATAAACAATATTTAATAAAATAAATATAGTTAAAAAAAACTAANATATATATATGAAACTAAAAAGTGAAAAATAAATATAGTTTAAAAAAACTAAAAAAACACGCTTTTAAAGCACATCGAACTAAAAAGTTAAAAATAATTTTTAAAATAAGCTTAAAACAATAATGAACGAAAAATACTAGTATTATTGTGATAAAAACGTCGGACGCTCAATATACGAAAAATATGACACAAAGCACCCACGCTTTTATCACAATAATACTAGTATTTTTTGTTCATTATTGTTTTAAGCTTATTTTAAAAATTATTTTTAACTTTTTAGTTCGATGTGCTTTAAAAGCGTGTTTTTTTAGTTTTTTTAAACTATATTTATTTTTCACTTTTTAGTTTCATATATATATATATATGTTACGGTCCAAGTGGAAAAATCAGTCATTGTATAAGTAAAAAAAAGTATTTGGCAAAAGTAACCATACAAATGTAGTTCCTATATAGACTAGTCATTGTAATACAATGACTGGTCATTGTATACAATGCTAAAACAGGTGAGGACATTGTGTACAATTCTAAAACTGGCGTTTATTTCGGTATTATCAGTAGTTGATTGACCACAACCACTAGGAAATATTAATAGGTAATCGGAAACTTTAACTTTAATCTTATCTTTGTAATATGTAGCTCGTACGCTGTACATAAACATACTAACAGTGCCGTGTTATACGTTGGTGTGTTCGAATTGTCTTGTGCGTGTTTTAAAAATGAAAACTAAATTTATAAATCGTCTGAATAATGTAATAGAAAATAAAAAAAATAATAGTACATATCTAAGTAAAAAAAAATATGATGAACTAATTTTGCATTTAAAAGCATTAAAATCGAATAAAACTAAAACTCCAAATTACTATAAATTAAGAAATATGATATTTTTAAAGTAAGTAATGTGGAAAGACTTATTGTGCCAATAAATGAAGGTTGGTATCAAATTAAATATTACGTACATAATGAAGAAATATTTAATATTCTTCATGAAACACATTTATCAATCGGGCATGGAGGTCGCAGTAGAATGGAACATAGTCTAAATAGTAAATATAAAAATATTACAAGAGAAACAATAATGTTGTACTTGAACTTGTGCGAATCATGTCAAAAAAAAGGCAGTTCGATTAAAAAGGGCTTAGTTGTTAAACCTATCATATCAACAGAAATGAATTCACGTTGTCAAGTCGATTTAATTGATGTGCAGGCGCAATCTGATGATAATTATTACAGTAGAAATCAGTTTACAATTTGCAGTGAGGCGTTTATTAATATTGAGGATGTACCTGACATTCAGTTATCACTGAGGGAAGTCGCTAGATTACTTTCCAACCTAGGAGGACAAGGTTACGAACGCTGCACTTGTGTCACAAAATGTGACACAAGAAAATGTAAATGCAAAAAAGCAAATATTTTATGTAACACTAAGTGTCACAATGACAACAATTGTAAAAATAAATAATATGTGTTTTGTATATCATTTGTCATGATAATAATTTGTGTTTATTTGGCATTTTCAGTACTAGTCATTGTATACAATGACTGATTTTCTACTTTGACCGTAACATATATATAGTAAGGCGACTGAAGTACGTAAACGTATCATGCACGAGGTATAGCCGTGTTTTGTTGGTGGGCGGGGCGGGGGAACGTTATACCTGAGGTATAAACGGCGGCAGCGGCTGTAGGAATATACAGGGTGTTCAGTAAGTCAGGAAACGGGTTTCCTGACTTACTGAACACCTTGTATAAATATATATACGTTAGGCGCATTACACGCGGGCGGTATTGGTCAGTCAAAATAAAAATGTGTATATATATATAATTGATGACACGTACGTGTGTACGGGTATGAAAACCAAAAATATAAAATTATACAGGATTAGTGTTTTCGGTGTGTGGTGAGCAGGGTGGGGTGAATGCGTTACGACGTCTAGTCTCAAGGTCATAGACGACGGGTACACGAGAATAATAGCACGTGCCGCTTGGAAAGTTACAAACACACATCACACATATATGTGAAACTAATATAAGCGTGTTAATAACACTAGTTGTTCATAATATAAACAATAAATAATCATATTATGATTTTTCATTACAATTATTTGATTAGTTAAGCTTTTATAGACATAATATTTTAAAATTAAATCTATTTATATATATTAGGGTGGTTCAAACGCATAGAAAAAGATTTATTTTTTAGATATTTTAACTTTTTTTTATTATTCAAAATAAATAATCCAAAATGTGACTTTAACGTAGTCTATGAATGCATAAATTATATAAAACATAACGCATATATATTATATAAATATTTACGCTTAACGTCCCACTAAAGCTTTTGTTTGTGTCCAAGAGTACAACAAACTTTAATTTTTCAAATGATAACATACGTAAATAATTAGCTTATTTATTAAATAAATATTTAATAAAGAAAATAACTTGTGGATAACAACTTTTGGACCAGTATTTCAGAAGTTATTAACATTTTCATTGCTAGATGAGAGGAGGGGTGAAGCTGAAAAATAGCAACCCCCGTACCTATCTCCAGTCAATACTTTAAATTGTAAATAACTTCTGAAATACTGATCCAAAAGTTGTTTCGACTAAAGTCATTATCTTAATTGCGTATTTTATAAGCTAGTTAAATATTTATGTTACTATTTAAAAAAAATAAAGTTGATATCCCTATAAAATAAGGGGTGTACATAAAAAATATTTTATAATAGATAAATAGAGAAATATTTCTTTCAACAAAATATTCGCTAGATCAAAAGTTATAAAAGATGGTAGAACCTGTCGGGACATTGTATATGCTTAACAAATTTATGAACTAGAATATTGATAAATATTTAAAACCTGATTGGTCGATAACAACTTTTGAATTAGTATTTTAAAAGATATTCGCATTTGTATAACAATGTGGGAGGAGTAGTGCGATTTATTAATAACTAAAAATAAAAATATAGAAACCCGCTCAACTCTGGTCATTATATTGGAAGATTTAATAAATTACAAAATACTGATGTTACGAATTACTCTTTTATTTTATGTCTTGTTTTTTTACATGTGTTAATAATTTTGTTAGTATTTAAGAGCATTAGAACATCGGTGGAGTTCAATGGAATCCGCGGACTCAACCCTTCAAAATCATTTTACATCCGTCAAATCCTCATGTATTTATTATTTATATAAAATTGTAATTTTGTTATATTTTAAATTAGTTGTATAGACAATCTGTCAAAACTTTAATTTATTTGTTTGATTCATTTATTTTATAGTGATAAGTACTAATTTAAACCTTTTACCGGTATCGCATGCTATATTTGGGTGGTAACAGTGTTTACCATGAATAAAAAAAATCGTCTTCAAGAGCCGAATATAGAGCAGAGTAAAATCATTAATATATTATCAGATCATTTTGTAAAATCATTTGAAAATATCAAAGATCGGAATTTCCGAAATTATTCGAAATTATATTATATTGCGATTCGGAAATTTATCAATACGGAGACATAACGGCAAGCCATTACAATATAAAAATATACAATAAATATTGTAATATTTAAATATTACAATATTCAGGGTGCGTTGTTTCTCGTCACCACAATATACTTATACCACCGGGTGGAAGAGGCTATCTACGTCATCAACTAAACTGTAAAACTTCGTGTGTAATGGATTCGATCAAAACGTTAAATACGCAATCTAGCAATTATCGTGTATAATAATTATTGTGGTTGGCCGAAAGAGTGTGCTACTTCACCGTGGCAATCATAAATGGTAGATAGAACAGCTGTTACCACCATTAACAACATCAGTCAATATCAAACGGCGTACAACCATAATCAGATAGTATCAAAAGAAAATAGATTGATAAATATTGTACGATAATATCGTGTAGGAAAATTCTCGTCACACTTGTTACTTTAACACTGGTCCAAAAGTTGTTGTAGATCTATCATTTTCTTAGATCATTTTATAGTTTGTTAGTTGGAAATACACGGCGTTTCTAGACCGAACCATGCTAATATATAAATAGTATGAAAAATGGTCTACTTGGTAATTTTCAATATGTCAAAATTGCGGTTTTTTTTTGTCATAACTCGTCAAATAATTATTCAAATAATAAACACGATTGAAGTACTAGTATAATAGCAAACAATAGGAAATTAAAAACTACAATGTATATAGTGATAGACCTTAACTATCTATCACTGGAAAACGAATACAACTTTGTATTTTACAAGTTGATGGTCATATTAAACAATATTTGTAATTTAATAGTTATAATCAAAATTATTTGACCACGATTATTGAAGATTTTTTTTTGTCAGTAATATACAATTAAAAACAGTAAGAAGCTTCACAATTTTTTTAAATAACTTTGATAAATATTAATGTAATAATTATTATTGTATAAGCATTTTTTATAGTAGGTATGAAAAATGTTTAATATATTATTTCATACTTATCAATACACATCAAAATATTTTATGACACTAATTTTAATCACTGTCAGATATCAAATAGTAATTTAAAAATACCTTAACTCCACTTTGTTGGATACTTGCTGTACTTTACTTTTTTATTTTTCTTTTTATTAGGGACAAATAATAAAAAATTTTTATCTGTTTTAATAATGCGAAAAAAAACAAATTATAGCGAAATAATGATTAAATCAAAAGTATTATGAGTTAGATTCGAGACATTGTATAATATTATACATAATATTAAATAAATTAAATACTTGTATTTATGATTTGAACCAACTGGGACTCTCCATCCAACATTGATAACACCATTGGTCTCTTCATCACATGGAAATAGTTCTACATAATTTGAAGATTCTGTTAAAGGATCTACAGTATTTTGCCATGGTTTTACATATTCTCCTCGGCTTCCCTTTATTTTAAATATTTTGAATTAAATTTTCATTAATAATAAAATTAAATATGAATATCATTACTTTTGATAAAATCTTTTGGATAACTGGTTCTAGACTATTAAATAAAGAAGAATGGTTAACTTTTCCAGTAACTAGAAGTAACAGATTTTCAGGTCGGTAATATGCATTATGGTATTTGCGAATCTATCAAATGAAATTTTTTTAGCTGTACTTTAAAGTTTATTATATTATGCGCAGTTTTAATGATAATCTTTTATACTTTTTCTATAGTAGTTGACTCTCGTAAATTTTTCATGATACCTCGTGTTTCTGATTTGTAGCCACATTCGCCGGGATACAGTTTTTTAAACAATGAACGTTTTATAATAGATTCTGCAGTATTTTCACGTTCTTGCATTTCACAATAAACAACACCAGCATCTTCACCTTCCGCAGTTATATGGTGAACTTCTGTGACAAAACCAGCATCCTAAAATTTATAAGATATTGATTACAATATACAATTAAGTATATTAATTTAGTAGATATAAGTGTATAAATAAAAAAAATTTACAGTTAATGTAGGATATAAAATATGATCAAGATAAATTGGAAGAAATGAAAGAAATCCTTCACTCCCGGCTGTGCTGACAGTATAACAAGTATTATCTACATCTATAATATATAGTATTAATAATTAGAAACTTTGCGATATTTTAAATAATTTTTTGATAAATTACCAGTCCAGGCATTGATTCCTGAAGCAAGACAACGATTTGCCACCAAATCAAGAACTCCTTTGTAAGGATACTCTTCTGATCCAAGAAATATTAAATGTTCTAATGTATGTGGAATACCATCATTATCGTGAGCTTCTGTAGCTTAATATTTCATAAAATAAATTATTTTAATGTCAAAATATATTTTGTTAAACTAATTTACCCAAAGTGAAATATCCATTTACGAGAGGACCATCAATATCACCAAATACAATAGTAATCCCGGTACGTAAGCATTTATACTTATACACTGGTATAACATTTTCAAATAACGAATGATTAAGAAGATTAAATTTATCGTCAAAATTTTGATTTAAGTTTTCATTATTAGATGCCATAATAATATCAGATATAAACCCAAAATTTAAAATACATTGTAACGTGACAAAAATGTACCGCTTCATTTTTATAAATAAATATATTTTATATTTTTAATTTATTTTGTTAGAGCAATCTGAGTGTTGCAACAGCGTTTTATATCTTCTTGTTTGATAATGTTTATTCAGCATTGACACAATTTTAATATAAATTTTGGATTGGCTGACTGTATATAATACCAACTCAACGCCCCTCCTTTTTTTTATATAATCATATATATAATTTTTCTAATATTTTGTAAGTGCTCAACCGCTCTAATCCCTCCCTTAATTGTGTTTATATTGATCAGCGTTACCGAAACTAAAATTGTTGTAGGTAAAACGTACCAGAAAAAATTAAATACTGTATATTATTGTTCAAATCTGTGACGACAGCGATTTATATCTGTTAAAAACAATATACTCGATAATAGTAAGCCTATTTGGATAACCAATTAAGCTTAATATGAATTTATCAAACATTTCTGATAAATATTTTGTAATAATCAGTCTTTTGATTCTTACTTCTGGTTTTTTTTATCGCTTTTTAAGCTTATTAAGAGCTATAGTGGCTTACTTCAAATGAGGAAGTGTCTAAACCATTGATACTCTGGGACGAGTGTTTAGCCCTTCGCCGGAGAGAGGGATGGCTGCTTCAATAACCGAACTGATATCCTGATCGGCAAATGAATAGCCCCGTAACCGAGTTTCGAGCCCGAGGCAATGCGTATCAAGCACTACCGCGTTACCGACTCGGTCACACCGCCCATCTTTATTTCTATAACTAAATCAATTACATTGATTTAATTTAATTAAATCATCAGATTCGTTAGCCTTTTTTCTGATGTATGGTATAAATTAGAAGAAGACATACTATCAGACATCAGTTTGGTCGACTTAAAATTAATATAACTATTAGAGTTTATTTTTTATTCATTCAATGGTCACAACAGTTTTGCAAACAGTTTTGAGCTCAACAATTGTATGGGGAGCTCTAAGCATTGATATATTCAGAAAAATATACATTTGTTATATTTTCATAAAATAACTACAAAAATAGTTGACGAACAAAAAAAATTACTTTTAACTCAATATTAAACGAAACATTGTGTCAATTTTCAAAAATAGCTAGCTATCCTTACTTAAAATATCAACTGAGATAATCAGGGGTCTATTAAAAAATCAAGTGGGTACAGTATTTCTGAAATATACTTGGATTTAACACTTGCTGCAGATAAAGTGCTTGTAATCAATTTACTTATTTATTTACTTTTTATAGAATTTATTTTACTAAACACCTTTTCACATATTTAGTGTCTACTGAATGTATATTCAACGAAAGCGTTTGGGCCATATTTTATATACGTCATAAATAAACTTGAAATATTCTTATACTAAACGAGTATAATCAGTGTAAATTTTGTATATAGAATACGTAAAACAATACTTTTATAATGGCCATAAATGTTAGTTATAAATTTAGTTTTTAGTTGTAGGTTTAAGTTTCATTGAATCTTGGTTGATACTTATACATATATTTTTTGATAATATCCCTGTTGGAGCAACTTGTTATTCGAATAATAAAAATAATAATAATTATAATAAAGTAGACTATATTTTAAATTTTCTTTGATTATAATGAATAATTAATTATAGTACAACTGGTAATAAATAAATACAACACTATAAAAAATCAATACGTCGCGAAACGGTCAGTCAATGTTATCGGCGCAGCGTATAACGAGCAACCAACTGACCGATCCCACCATTATTACAAATGATAATCGTATATTAAACATAGGGGCCACCTTGAAGAATAGTCTTCAAAATATAATAAATAATATAAGTCACAGTCACTAAATAGACCAAAATAAATTAAACAATCAATCGGAATATAATAGAAAGATTTAACCCACAATTAAAAGGGATACTGAAAATAATATAAATAATGCATGGTAAAAATTCATTGACTAGAACATAAATAAATAATTTCGCTGACATATTATGATTACAAAAAATATTAAAAATAAGTATTAAATTAAATTTAAATTACATAACATACAATACATTTAAATCATTTTAAGTGGGACTCGTCATTATCTTGGGTTGGTAATGGACAACAATCTCACCGCTCTCTTTCTTAGCCCACTTGCTGTGTTGACTGTCGCGACTCGCACTACACCGTTATTGCCCGGAAATATTTCAATCACGCGGCCCAACTGCCATTTAGAGGGAGGCAAATTTGGATCTTTTATTAAAACCATTGAGCCAATTTTTAATTTGGAACTATTCGGTTTGTTCCATTTGAAACGCTGCTGCAGCTGACTTAGATATTCCACGCTCCAACGTTTCCAAAATTGTTGCGTAATATATTGTACTCTTTGCTTTATATGTTTCGTGAAGCATTAATTGTAATTACCTCTGTTCAATGATATAATTATTAAACTATTCTTGTGACAATCGTGGATCAAAAATAAACGGCTTACGCCACCTATCTTTTCTTAAAAACTGTGTCGACTACTTGTTCGTTAAACGATCTAAGGCGTATCAATAGTCAGAAAGATCATCAGATAATGGGGTAAGCGGTCGTGAATTGAAACAAGCCTCAATCTGCACCAACAGTGTATAAAACTCATCATATGTTAATTTTACGAATGATACAGTGCGATTTAAATATTTTTTAATGCTGTGAACTGCCGCCTCCCATAGTCCGTCGAAATGTGGTGCTCGTGGAGGAATAAACTGCCATACTATTTCGTTGCTAGTCATAAATTGATAAATACCATCTTTGTAATCGGCAATCGACATTAACTGTTTTAAATCTTGAAGTTTGTTTATTTACACCTACGAAACAAGTAGCGTTATCTGAATATATGTTTTTACATAGACCACGGCGAGTTATGAATCACTTTAGAGCTGCAATAAATGCATCTGTGCTTAAATCACATACGAACTCTAAATGCACAGCCTTTGTTGCAAAACACACAAGCACGCATATATACGACTTTAGAGTCGCGGAATTTCGTCGATTGTTGCACTTTAACAGAAACGGACCCGCATAATCTACTCCACAATTTTCAAAACATCTACTTGGCCAGTCGACTCTGAATTTTGGTAAAATACCCATTAAAGGTAATATTTTTTTTGGTCGTGCCTTGAAACATTTTACACATTGGTGTATAACTTTTCGTACCCACTTTCGACCATTGAGTGGCCAGTATTTTAATCGCATCGTGACAAGTGTAGCATGTGGCCCTGCATGCCACAGTCTTTCGTGTTCGCGTAACATGATCAATTTTGAAAAATTTGTTTTATTGAGTATTATAATCGGAAATCGTTGATCAGTATAAAAAATTTTCGTTTTGGTTAATCTACCACCCACGCGCACGGTTCCATCGTCGTCTATTAACTGATTTAATTTATATATTTTACTGTTTCCCAATACAACGCGTTTATTCTTTAAATATTTAATTTCTGAAGAAAAATAAATACTTTATAATAATTTGAATGATAATTTAATTCCTGTTGATATTTCGTTTACGCTTAGCGGCCCGATTATTCGCTGAATAGTATTCGATAATAAATTATTTTTGTATCGTAATAAATAATTAACGACGCATGATGACTTGTTCAGAGATGAATATTTATCAATATCAAACATCGGGCTCACTGTAGTAGCATGCGCGATAATAGGCGTAATCTTTTCTTCGTTTTTAATATCGTTTATATGCTCCAAATCTTCGGTATGTGCTATTGAACCTTTGAACTCATTATTATTTAACCATACCGGACCATGCCACCAAAGCATGTTATTTTTTAATTCATTTGGCGTACATCCTCGTAATAATATGTCAGCTGGATTATTGTTCGATTTCACATGTCCCCACTCCGAACGCTCAGTTAAAGTGTGGATTTCACTGACGCGATTGGCAACAAATGTTTTCCATTTACTTGATTCTTCAGCTAACCAAGCTAAAGTGACAGTTGAATCTCTCCAAAAATAGTTTTTTGATATGTTCAGTTTAAGCACTGATATAATTACATGCATAAGACGTCATAAAAGTAATGCCGCACATAACTCTAATCTTGGAATTGACACTACCTTTATCGGTGATATACGCGACTTTGCGCACACTAATTGGCAGTTAACGACTCTATCCGTCATACCTGTAGAACGTATATAGATACACGCACCTTATGCTTTCGTAGATGCATCCGCGAATCCATGTATTTCAATGTGTTTTTCTTTATCAGACCCCAACCAACAAGGTATGTAAATTAATTGAACTCATTTATAAACAATTATTATAACTTTCCCATTTTGATTGCATGTGTGATGAAATTGGATTACAGTAGAAGTCCGATAATCCGGCATCCAACAGTCCGGAATGCCCGATAGTCCGGCATCGCTCCCGAAAATTGTAAACATTTTGGTTTTCTCCAAAAAAATGCCTTTAAAGCAAATAAGAACGATCAGGAGCTATTCGGAAGTTTTCAGGGTACTCGGGATCATCCGGACGAATTTACAATAGAGTAGAAAACTAATAACCAACAATACATAGTAGTGAACATAGTAGTACTTGGACCGGTCTAATTTTATCATATATAACAAAATTAGACCGATTCGAATACACTGAACGCGCGCTTAAAATTTGACAACAGGAAGTTGTATTACACGGCCTCGACAGTATTGTTCGGAAACAATTAGCGGCTGGCTAGTCTCAGCTATCACAACAAAACAGATGCAGTGCAGTACAGTTAATCAATCACGAAGTGTCTTCGCTGTGCGTTGTTGTTTTGTGTCCTTTTATATTGTAGTAAACTGTGTTAATTTCATAATTGAAATTAATTCATCACATAACATTATAACTTCAATCAACGTGTCCGCTCCGGTAAGACAATCATCCACGCAAAAATCATTTTTGATAAATTCTTTTAATCTTGAATTAGTAGTTTTATCAGCTATTCTGTTGACATAGATCATCGCCAAAAATCCCGCGGGTACCAATTCATAAGTAACTGTACGTAATCTGTATATTTTGACCTCT